CTCAGATAATAGAGAAGAGGCATCTTTCAGGTACACAGAAAAACCGGTGGGCCCTCGGGCCAGAAAGGAAAACACAATCTACACAGGAGTTCTACAGGACACGTCACCTTCCCTTGGAGACAGTACAACTAAACTTAAGAGACACTGGTCAAAAGAAAAAAAAATGTCAGCAGTTGAGGTGTTTGGAATCATAGAAGCCAAGAAAGCTTAAGATACAAGCTGTCAGATCATGGGTTGGACAATGGAAGATATTTTCTGAAGGGACTTGGCAGATGTGAAGGTTAAAAAAATGAAGAGCACACAATAATATGTAAGGTGTTCTACAAAACATATACAGAATAGGAAATTAAAAGGCTAAAGGTTTTTTCTAGAATTTGTTCTCATTGTGCCTGCGTAGTGCTATCAGCCACACATGGAAACACTATCAATTTTTTTTCTAGACAAAATAGAGTAAGCAGAAGGGAAAGAATATAAGATCTTAAGGTCATTAAAAGAAAAAGCAGTATGTGACTAAAATTCATTTTCCAGCTTTGTCCTCTTGTTCCCTTTGTTCTGTGTCTATGTTTTAATGTCAGCATCCTTCTTTTTTACAGTCTGGCCTTGTTAAAGGTCATGTATCTGTCCTAAGGACCATACTTTAGTCCTTACCAGTATCTAAGTTTGACATTCATGTATCTACTCAATACATTTTATTTAGATCTCCATCCTCCCAGGAGTCCTAGCTTGCCACCCAAGCTGAGTACTAATCTTTAAGATGAACTTGCAGCTTTTCAGAAATAACTCACATCCTCTGCCCCCTCAGGATGGATTTGTTCGTGTTGACCGAGATTATGTGATGAAGTCTGCAGAGCTGGCAAAAGCTGGAGGATGTAAGCATTTCAACCTGCTGTCCGCTATAGGAGCTGATAAGTCAAGCAGCTTTTTGTGCCTACAAGTTAAGGTTTGTACATATTTCTATTTTTCATGTACAGTGGCAATCCCTAGTAATTTAGCATCTATATTGGAGGAAAACTCCTTAACAACTTATGATATGTGGATGACACAACCTCGCTTGCTGAAACTGAAGAAGACCTGAAACACTTTCTTCAGAATGTCATGCACTATAGTCTTCAATATGGATTGAAGCTCAACATCAAGAAGACAAAGATTCTCACAACTGGATCAATTGGCAGCACCATATTAGATGGAGAAGAGATTGAAATGGTTAGCAGTTACAGCTGTCTTAGATCCACAATCAACACTCTTAGCACCAGCAGTCAGGGAATCAAAAGACAAATTGCTTTGGGAAAATCTGTTGGCATATACCTGTCCAGAGTGCTGAAGAGCAATGATGTCAGTTTAGATGCAAAGTGCAAAGAGAGTTGGACAATGACTAAGGATGACAGAAGAAGAATGGATGCCTTCAGGTTTTGAGGCTGGAGAAGAGTCTTAATCATACCATGGACTGCCATGAAAACAAATAGATCTGTCTTAGAGAGGGGTGAAACCAAGTCTCCTTGGAGGCTAGGATTGTGAAGCCCCACCTCACTTACTTTGGGCATGTGGCCAGGAGAGATCGGTCCTTGGAGAAGGAAGTCATGCTTGGAAGGGTGGATGGACAATGCAGGAGAGAAAGACCCAGGATGAGATGAACTGATACAGTACCTTGGGCAATGGAGTTTTGTGTGTCAGAATAAGTGAGACTGGCTCAGGACAGGGAAGGGTTCAGAGCTGCTGCACATAGGGTTACAATACATCATAGGCAACTCAATGGCACATAATAAAAATAACATACTATGACAGGTTTGGAAGCAGGAGTGGCATCCACTTTTTAATAACGTGCCTCCAGAAACTCTATGAACTTCAATAAATGTCAATAGATGTAGAGGGGCTTTGAGCCTTATTTATATTGATAGGGTCACTATGAGTTGTGCTTGACTTGAAGGCATTCAACAACAAGAAGTAATATAGGCAGACCTCAATAATTCAGTGATAGAATTCTTAACTTCGATGTTAGAGACCAAAGTTCAGTTCCCACTCAGTACCCCATATGCCCAGCAACCACCACTTGTCAATAGAGGCTTATGTGTCAATGTAATGCTCAAGAGGCTTCAGTAGTGCTTTCTGATTAAGACAGACTAAAAAGAATTGCCTAGGAAATTTATTTCTTAAAGTCAGCTAATGAAAACACTATAGATTACAGTAGTTCTATCCCCATAGATGATAGGAATGATGTTAAGACTGGACAGTATTTCTTTCAGTTGTGATGGTGTCATTGTAAAAACAGCAAGGACTATGTGGGGATGGGCATGTCTATCCTTTACCAACTTCACAAAGGGGATCTATTCCCATCTACAGCATCAGTAACATAAAACCAATTCCCATAGGGTCACATGTGTCCCCCACTCTCCTGTACCTCTTTCTACTCATCTTAACACCAATATTACTGCTTTGCTGGGTTCAAAATCTGATGTGGTATCTCACAGACCACACAGAAGCATATTGGGGGAGTCAAAAGGTTATAATCCAGATTAATAACAGGATACAGTAATTTATAAGCTTTTCCCTCAGAGTTTGCTTAATGGCTGAGGAAAATGAGTTTGGGTATCTTTGGAGATTTGAAGAAACTAGCCTGAAGCAGTCTGCTAGCTATAAGGTCAATGCTCTCAGGAAGTAGCCTCTTAGAAATATTGGCTTTTAGCTTTGAAAAATTCATAAATATTTTGCTGTTACCAGTAATATGCACATACTATTTATCTTAACAACAAAAAAGGTTTTCATGAGCTCAACTTCAAGTGAATAGATTCTATAGGGAGAGAGGACATTGTGTTCTCAGGCCTCTGTAGACCTCCAGACACACCTCCACGTGTCTGTGGTTTAAGAAACAGGACCCAGAAGGTCTTTCAGCTGAAGGGCTCTCTGATGGACAATCCCTTTCTAGATGGTCAGCTAGCTTCTGCTTGATAGATTGTGGTGATGCTTGCACAACTCCATGAAGAGATGAAAAATTGGTGATTTTTTTTAAAGTTAGTTAAGATTATAGCATGGGACCTGTAGAGTGCCACATGAGAGGTATGGACAGGCTGAGATGGAGAAGAACATGTGCTCTGTGACTGCTAAGACTTGGACTCTGCAGGTACCAGTGGCCACCTGGCCTCCACTGAGATGCTCACCACAAAGCCCTGGCTTGTTTAACACAGTATATTTTTCATCCAGATGTACTCTGTCTCTTGAAATTTCATATAGTGTTTTCAAGTGGTGAGTATTAGAGATGGTGGATGGGCCTTCCGACTCACTGTAATTACCTATAAACCAGGTGAAAGGGGGGAGTTAATGCTAGAGTGTCTACAGCAATGGGCTTGTGTGTGTCAGAGATTATGAGGATAGTACAGGATAGGACAGGGTTTAGATTGGTTATTGATAGAGTCCTTATGAGTTATACTCAATTCTATGATCCCTAACAACAACAACGTACTACAACATTTATTCTGGGCTAAAGAGTGGTTACTACAATGATGAGCTTGGACCCAGTGGGTGGAGATTGTGAGGATGGCACAGGATCAGGCAAGGTTCCTATTATTTACAGGGTCTCTGTGAGTCATAGTTGACTCAGTTGACATTACCTTTTTATGTTAAACTCCTAATATATCACTTATCTTTACTGGATCCTTTTTAAAAGATGTAAAACTAAGAAGACTGGACTGACTATGTAACTGTTCACTCATTCAATAGAGTTTTTTAAAAAAACTACTTAAGGGGTTTTTTTGTTGTTGTTGTTTTTGCTAAGGATGTATCAGAATTATATAATTCTTCCTTAACTTTCCAGAGTTGGTAGAATCTAAATTTCTAGGAGACAGTACTGATGAGTATTGAGACCTTCAGGGATCTATTCTCGTCAGCACTCAAGCTCATCTGCTCTCAAGTCTTAGAGAAAGAGAGTCTTGATTACCTACTGAACATGTGTTCTTGTTTTTATAACAGGGAGAAGTGGAAGCCAAGGTTGAAGAATTAAAATTTGATCGGTACTCCATATTTAGGCCTGGGCAAGTGTTCCTGCTTCCTAAGAGCACATCCCTGTTCACTAGTCACTAAATGCTGGTTTTTTCACTCAGAGAGACTGGTAACTACTATCTAAGTTCTGAAAAAATCTTCATGGAAATTTGTTTCTCTGAAGGACCCTATTATTTCTTTGTTTGTTTTTAAATTTTTTTATTTTATTATGTGTGTGTGTGTGTGTGTGTGTACCGTCAAATCAGATCTGACTGGTACAGGAGGAGATTGTTCCTCCTTCTCCAGCAGAGAATCTGGTGGATTTGAACCATGCACCTCTGGGATTGCAGTATACTTTTTTGCCACTAGGCCACCAGAGCTCACCACTTAAGGATCATTTTTTGAGTTGGAGAAAAGAGACAACAGATAGCTAGTGGTGCCAGTGTTGAATAGTCTTGGACTCCTGGATAGCATAGGCCATTTGGTTTTCCTAAAACTTGTTCAGTATCAGATGATTTTTATTGTTGTTGTTAGGTGCCACTGAGTTGAGTACAACTCATAGATCTGAAACCTGTTCTATCCTGCACCATCCTCACACTTCCTGACACACATGAGTCCACTGCGCAGTCGCCATGTTAATCCACCTCATTGAGGGTCTTTCTCGCCTTTGCTGACCCTCCACCCCTTCCTAGCATCATATCTTTTTCCAAGGAATAGCCCCTCCTAACAACATACCCAAAGTATTTGAGGTGAAACCTCGTCATTCTTGCCTCCAAAGAGCACTCTGGCTGCACCCTTTCTAAGACATATCTTTTCATTTGCTTGGCCATCAGTGGCATGATAAGTGTACTTCTCCAACACCACAGCACCAGGTAAGAGCTCTGTTATGATGTGATGGCAACTTACCATTCCTTTCTCTGCCTCTCTCTCCTCAGAGTTCTATTATGTGATAGACGAGAGTCTCGCCCAGGTGAGTGGTTGCTCAGGAAATTCTTCGGTGTCTTACCAGAATCCTGGGCTAGTGCACACTCCGTGCCTGTGGTGACCTTAGTGAGAGCAATGCTGAATAATGCCGTGAGACCAAGTGACAAGAAGGTGGAACTGCTGGAAAACAAGGCCATCTACGCCCTGGGGAAAGCCGACGAAGCTCCCAAGCCATAACTGCCATGCAGAAAATGGTCCTTATTGTAAACATTAACACGTAGTAATGTATCAGTAATTTCAGGGTCGGTAAGAATTAGGATTCTTTCTCTGTGTTGCTTTTCTATTCTTGGTTACACCCAGAGTCAATCAAGAAATGACTGTGCCATGTCAGTGGTTTAGATTTTGATTCTCCAGATACATCACCCAGAGAGCTTCTGAAAATGAGAGATTTGTCATAGGTCATACCTCAAATCTTCGGAATTGGAAGTTTTGGAGTCTGGCCATAGGTATCTATTCTGTTGTTGTTTATGCGTCTGCAGGTGGTTCTGATGCCAGTGGTTGAGAACCCGGCTTTGGAAGCGCTTATCTCCAGAGTCCAGCAGCAGTGTAAGCCTATGGTCCCTGCAGAAGAGCTCTGTGCTGAAATTGTTGACATCCATGTCTCTGAGGTTACCCAGGGCTAACTCTACTTTATTGTGTAACTGAACATTGTGCCTTTACTAATTCTTTAGACTATTTCTTCATTTTAAAAAATTACAATTGAGATGATATAATTCATAATGAGAGTTTAACAGGAAAAAAAAAAAAAGAAATACATAGACATGTGTTGGCTGCAGCTCACCCAGATTGTTAGAAATGCCCAAATCTCAGTGGTGACATGCAACACATTATGCAGTGGGATGACACAAGAGCAAGTGGTCTTTATCTGGTCCTTTTTCAGAAGTGATTACTTGCATGTGCTAGCTGTCTTTTAACCTTCCAAACAATCCCTATAAGGTAGTACCATCACTATCCCCATATCTCAGATGGAGAAACCAAGATTCTTTGTGGTTAAGTGTCTTGTTCAAGGACCCAAAACTGAAGACTTCAAGCTAAAAAGTGACAAAGGCAAGAGTCTAACCTAGATCTACCCACTCCCATAATTAATGTTTTTAATCATTCTAGATGTGTTTATTTTTAGTACTTTCAGTTACTTGTTATTGGTTGAATAAATACTGTTGACCAATAAAATTGAAAGATTTGACTTTCTGGCCCAGGACTCTTCGAATGACTAACCACAAACTACTTACATAGCTGGTAACATTCTATGTGCCACACTTTAAAAGGCTCAAAGTGCTGCCCTTTACAAACTAAAGGAAAGGAGAGGAGGATGCACAAGGTAGGCTAGAAGTCAAAAGGATCACTTGGTGCTAATTTCCATCCTAGAACAAAGGATGCTTTAACCTCTGGGCTGGTGGAAGCAAAATTATTTGAGTGATTTAGTGAATTTTATAGGGTCTACATTGCCTTTGAACTTTGGTGCTGGAGAAGAATATTGAATATCCCATGGACTGCTAGGAGAACAAACAAGTTCATCCTGGAGAGGGTGAAGCCAGTCTGCTCCTTGGAGGCAAGAATTCTGAAGCTTTGTCTGACATACTTTGGACATGTTGCAAGGAGAGACCAGTCCTTGGAGAGGACCATCATGCTTGGGAGGGTGGAGAGATGACAAAGGAGAGGAAGACCCTTAATGAGATGGATTGATTCCGTCACTGGGGTAATGGGGATAGGTGTGTCAGAGACAGTGAGTTTGGACGGGTATAGAGCAGGGTTTAGGGTACTTAGGGTAGCTTTGAGTCACAAGCGACTCGACGGCACATAACAACATTCTCTCAGTTACTTTTCAAGTGTTAGTGGACACTGAAGGTTAAAGGTGACACTCTTGAGTGTCTTAGGTGCCCTTGAGTTTCAGCAATAAATATCAAAGGGTATTCATATGTGTAACTCTGAGTTCTAGTCAGTTCTGGCATATTTTTTTTACTCTATAAATGGTTGCTAAATGAACGAATAAAAGTTGAACCCTTAGTAAAAAACTGCCTTTTTATTACAGTGAGACCTCACACCCATAATATTGGATAATGGTCTGTTTAGTGAGACACTAGCAAAAATGTTGATAGAGGGTTTAATTTTTTTCTTCAAAGAATATTGCTTTGATACTGGGAACAATTTTAAGGTTTCCACTAAATACATTCATAGGACTAGTAACACAAACTGTCAGAGATTTCCAGCTCCAATTTACAAATTGCTTAAAGTGAACATTGCTACTTTGTGGCAGATTGCAGAATTAACACTACAAACCACCCAGTGACATTTAAAACATGCTGAGACCATAGCCTGTGACTCATATGGCAAAGATACGGGGGGTGGGGAGGAGTATCTAATCACTGATTAGAACCAAAGGTTTTACATTTTGTACTATGTGTCCCTCATATTTTAATAACACAAATGCAAAATTGTAGATAGTACTTAGATCATTCAATTTAAAAATCTGTATTTCATTTGATATTGTCATTGTAGCACAGTAGAATAGAAAGCAATTGCTTTTAAAATCAGAATTCCTGGTTCCATTTCTTGGTCTAATGCCTACCATGTTTTGGCTGTAGGCTTTTTTCTCTCTTATATTAATGCTAAAACCTACTCCAGAGTCTGTGTGAATAGCCAATTACAGTAACTGTAACAAAATCCACTGTCCTTGAGTTGATTCAACTCATATAACCCTGTAGGATAGGGTTCTAGACCTGTCTCAGAAGGTTTCCAAGGGTGTAAGTCTTTACAGAAGCTTGCTGCCACATTTTTTCACATGGAGCCTCTGAGAAGAATGTACCACCCATCTTTCAGTTTGCAACGGAGTGCTTTAACTACTTTGTAATGTCTCCTTTATTGCCAACAAGTTGGGTCCCCGCCCATGGTTCCATGGTATTGTCATATGGCTTAATGGCAATTTGAGGGATCCTTTAGGGACCCCAACCAGGCTTGGGCTTGATATGGACATGCCTGTTGATAAGATACATTTTTACTCCTTGAGAGGCACATCCAGAAGGACACCTGCATGGACCAAGGGAATAGGCCCTCTGTTGTCTATTTCCATCCATTGTGAGTTTATGTGTGGTCATCAGTAGTGTCCACTTTCCTTGAACTCCTCATTGTTCCTATCCACTGCTACCTCTATCTGGAAGAGTCCTTGCTGGGAGTTATCTGGCGCCTCCTCCCATCAAAAAGGCTCTGCCCCTATTATTCTCCTGACTTCTGCCTTTTCCCCTCATTCTTCCACTCCACCCTCAGTGTCCTTTTCTGACTTTTATCTCTCCCTCAGAAAGGCCCATGTGCTCATCAAATTTCCCAGGCACTGTTGAGAACAGTCCCCATCCATTTTCCAGTCATTTTGAACTCCCTTGGGATTCAAGTCTGTCTGTACTGAACTGCTGTCTGTGCATATGTCCAATATACCCCAAAATTGCAGGTGTGCGTCAGGAGCCCACCCAAGTGCCAGGCACTTTCAGGCTATTGATTGCAATAGGGGACACTCATGCCATCTTTTAGACTTTCCCAGAATCTGAGGCTTCCGGCTTTCAGAGAACACTCATGGTTGCCCTCACCCACAAACCTGAATACCATGGGAAGTCAAATGTCTAAACCTTGGACTGCCTCCGTTCAAATCTTTAAAACTTGGGCCTGGCTGAGGACCTCTGTCCCAAGAAACTAATCTTTTACTGTAACCAAGCATGGCCACAACACCAGCTAAATAATGATGGCCTAAGAATAGAACCTTTTAATTTTAATATCCTTCAAGATCTTGACAATTACTGCCAGCGGTCTCAGAGATGGCCAGAATCCACATCTACACTTTCTTTTCTTTTGCTCCCATCTCTCTCTCTCTAAAGCCTGACAACCTGTGCAGGTTCTCTTAGCCCGTTGTAAAGTAGCTTTTAGTATTTGAGTTTATTTCTTTACTTTGATGCCTTTTTTAATTGGACTATCTTTGAAAAGTATTGTTCTTCCATGATTTAAAAAGTGTAGGTATAGAACCGGGGGGGG